TGTTCCTGAATTCAATTCCTGGCTTGGTTAGTTGGTTTTTTTTTCACTTCCACCTTATAAATTATGTTGCAAATAAGAATAAAAATGTAGACTTTTCATGTACTTCTTGTTGTTGGATGTATTGCTTTTTTATACTCCATTATTCGGATAAGAACATTTTTTTGATTCCTACAAAGATGAAGCTAAGAACATTTTTTTTATTTGCAGGAGCCAAGATAAACTTTCTAAAGTTGTAAAAAATAACTATATGATTAGTCTACGTCTTCTAATTTATTAAAAATAAATTTCTAGATAATCTATAAAGGACGAATATAGATACGGATATAGTGATATGACAAAATCTAAAAAAGTAAGATATGGATTCGACAATGATACATCTGTAGTAAAAATATATTTCATATTTTTACTATTATCAATCGACTTAAAAATTATATATTTGATAATTCTTTTAACATAATAAGCAACTTTTGCCAAAAAAAAAAAATTGTTCCAAAAAAGTACATATTGTAGCATTATGGTATATTCACAACGTTAATGGACTAATTAAAGGAATCAAAACTAATTTTTACTTAGAAGTATTTGTTGCTAAGGTTACGATTAACTAGAATCATTTTATGCTCTTTTGACATGTAACAATAGAAAATACTTAAAAAAAATTCGTATCTTCAAAGTCGTGAATTTTTATTAATGTATTGTATGATACGTGAATTCAAAATGAGACATCAAAGATTAAATTCAAACATTATATATATTGAGGCTTTGGTGATAAATGGAGGAGTTGGTTGTCGGGATGTTTTCTATGAATTTCTCCATTTTGCTTAATGAAAATTCTAGGGTAAATTTAAGGCTTCTAAAGGGTTGAGACAGGGCGATCCCTTCTCTCCTTTTCTCTTTAATGTAATGGTGGATGGTTTAAGTAGTTTAGTGAGTGAGGCTAAGAGATATAATTTGATGGAATGTTTTATGGTAGGCAGGAATAGGATACTGGGGACACATTTGTAGTTTATCGATGATACAATATTTTTTTTTACAAGGATAAAATAGCTAATGGAAAAAATATTAGATGATTGGAAGAGTGCTTTTATTTCTAGAGGGGGAAGATTAACTCTATTGTTGTTTGTTTTAAATAGTATCCCCACATATTTCTTATTCTTATTTAAGATGCTTGGAAAAATTGTTAAGAAAATTGAGAAGATGAAGAGAGATTTTTTGTGTGAAGATAATGATGAGGGAAAGAAAGATCATTTGATAGGGTGGGGAGATTGTTTCTAGGACTCGGGATAAATTTGGTATTTCAATTGAGAATTTGAAGCAAGAAATATTGTTCTAGTTGGCAAGTGGCTTTGGAGATTTCCATTAGGGCAAAGCTCTCTGTGACATTTAGTTATCAAGAACAAATATGGATTATATGTCAATGTATGGATTTGAGTAGGGTTGAAGGGGAATGTTTTCGAAGTCTATGAAAATTTATTTCTCAGAAATTGACAAGGTTTTCTCAAAATGTTCGGGCTATGGTTGGTAATAAGGGTAAGAATTCATTTTTCGGAGGATTTATGGGTGGGGGAGCATCCTTTGTTTTGTTTGTTTCCTCGTCTTTATTATGTTTCTTGTTATCATGATGTATCCATTGCTTCAATCTTATGATCATCCATATTCGTGGGATTTTAGTTTTCGTAGAAGTCTTCATGATATGGAAATGGGGGAGTTTATTTCTTTGATTGATGTCACTTAATGTATTTGAGAGTAACAAGGGATACAAACTAAATGTAGAGCCCCGTATATATAGCTAATGAAAGTTTACAATAAGGATAAAAAAAGGTAAAACAAAATAAACCCTAATAAATTAGGTTGTTATATCTCCAACACTCCCCCTCAAGGTAGGCGCAAAAATATCAACGAAGCCAAGCTTGACAACGGAGTCCTGAAGAATGGATAGAGTGATATGTTTGGTAAACACATCTGCAACCTGATCACTGGTCCCCACGAACGATGGGGGGACAATACTACTGCTAACTTTCTCCTGAAGGAAGTGAACATCGATCTCTATATGTTTCGTCCTCTCGTGTAATACAGAGTCAGAAGCGAGCTGAATAGCAGATTGATTATCACAATATAATATAGATGAAGAAATCACTGGAAATTCCAACTCGCCAAGAATCGATCATAGTCAGATAATCTCACATGTACTAAGTGCTAGTGCCCGATGCTCTGCCTCTGCTGATGAGCGAGAGACAATTGACTGCTTCTTGCTCTTCCAAGAGATAAGATGAATCCCTCGAAAAGCACATAAGCTCGTAGTCGATCAACCGTCACATGCTCTCCCATAATCTGAATCTGAATCTGAATAATAGGCTAGAGAACCAATCTGAGATCTTGATGCATAGAACAACCAAAATCCAGGACAAGACTTGAGGTACCGAAGAATATGATAAATTGCATCAAGATGAGGCTGACATGGTCTATGCTTGAACTGACATGGGGTACCTTGACGGCACTGGGCCGAGCGTTGTCAACCCCTATACCTAGTGGAAGTACTAACAAATGTCTCAACGGTAGGAGTCTCAACTCCCTCAGTAGTAGTCATATCATCATAATACTATGACACTCATGACAGAAAAACAACTCTAAGATAAATAGAGGGACAAAATAAGGGAGAATAATATACCTTCAGTCGAACAGTAACGACAGATGAAGGTCCAGAAAGCTCCCAAATAATCAAGGTCACGGTGCTCAGAAATCCAATAAAGATAAATAAGTAATCTACTGCATCAAAAATAGATCACCGGAGAAGAGGATTCATTCCCTCCTAAAAAAGTCCTAGGACAAAGCCACAACGGAAATTGCGACCCAGTGGGCTGGACAATGACCCAGCAGTAGGATTTCAGTTTTACTGGGTTGCTGGGCTGATTTAATATGTCTTTTGATTTATTGGGTTGGATCTGAGGTGGTCTAGTATTATTATTATATGGGCAGTTGGTATGGGCAGTGGAGTGGTTGGGTTTGGTGTATTGGGTCGGTGGAGTTTCTGGGTTCGTTTGGTGTTAGCTGGGGTTGGGCTGGTATGTGAGGGCTGTCGGTGTTTTGTTGGTGTTGGGTTGTTTCAGTGGAAGGCAGAGGTTGTTTCGGTGGAGGGCTGGTATGTGGGTTTGAGTTCGTTCGTCAGTGGAGTGGGTTTGTGGTAGTATGTCAGTGGATTTGGGAAATATCAAAGCAGGTTGCAGTTTGTGGGATTGGTGGATTTGGGCAGTATGCAGTCACGGTGGATTTGTGTTGCTGAATTGGGCAGCTGGGTTGGTGGGTTTGTGTTGCTGAACTGGAGCAGTCGCGGTGGCTGGTGGCAGTGTGGTGGCTGCAATGGGAAGGAGGGGCTAGGGTTAGGGTTAGGGCTGTGGCTCTGATACCAACTTGATGTATTTGAGAGTAACAAGGGATACAAACTAAATGTAGAGCCCTGTATATATAGCTAATGAAAGTTTACAATAAGGATAAAAAAGGTAAAACAAAATAAACCCTAATAAACTAGGTTGTTATATCTCCAACAATGTCCTTAATTATTATTTTTTTAGTCAAGAGTCTATTGATAAGAGGAAATGGGTTTGTGAGTCGTCCGGGGTGTTTCTTGTTAGTCTTTTTTAGGTTCTATTATTGATGATTCTTCATGTCATTTCTTTTTGCCTGCTATCATGATTTGGAATTTTGGATAGCCAAAGTACCCATTATGGTGCAAGTTTTTGCATACATGGTAAGATTAATACCAATGATAAACTTCAGAAAAAGAGATCTACAACTTGTCTTTACCCTCAATGGTGTGTGATGTGTAAAAGTGATTTGAAAGCATTGATCATTTATTCTTATATTGTCCTATTACTGGTTATTTATGATGTAAGTTGTTTACTTGCGTCGGTTTGAATTGGGTGTCTCCTTTGTCATCTAGTTCATTGTTTATTGAAGATTTGAAAGGCTTTGGTCGGAGAGAAAAAGGAGTGACTTTGTGAAATTGATCATTTAGAAAGAAAGAAAGAAATGTAAGAATCTTCAAAGATAGAAGTGAGGATGTGGTTGAATTATTTGTTTAGTATTTTGGCAAGATAGAAAGCTTATTGTGAATGATTATATTTTTTCTTTTTCCTTGGTCTTTTTGTCTATTGGCTGGATTCCTTATCCAACCTTCTATATGTTTTTTGCAAGCTTTTATTAATAAAATGCTTCTGTTTCCTATCAATATTACTCCAATATATATTTGCTCCGATACAAAAGTATTCGTGAAATATTCAAAATATTGTATTATTATCGGATACATCGGAGAAGTATCCAATATGTATCGTCGAGTATCTCATGAGCAGGTAACTCGACGAAGTATCTGTGTTTCATAGTGGATAATGTTATTTTTACACCAGTACCAATTTAACTAAATGTGGTGGGAAAGAGACTGTTTTTACTCATAGATGGACCTTCTGATTAATTATGGGCGAGACCTAAAAGGAAAATTTCATATTCCTACAGTAATTTTTCTACTTTTGGGGTGTGTTGGGGGAGGACCTAATATTGTCAGGGTTATAGCCAAAACATAACATAAAACAAAAGAACATGCCAGATATTTTTTAAAAAATTTTGATCTGCTCACAGTCCAATTGATTAATTGGGTTCCGGAATACTGACTGCAGGTAAACATGGAAACAAAATGCAATTAGATAGTGGAACTCGCCTTTTCTTGTATCCTCTGGTTGGCACTTGGGGTCAGCTTTTGTTTCCAAGACCCTGGAAGGAGTTCCGTTTGTGGTATGACACCCACAAGGCGAAGGGCATGAAGCCATTTCTCGAGGGGATGGTAACGTATTTTACCACTATACACTTCATGGCTCTCCCTTATGGTTTGTCTTTTCATGATTTTAGATGCAGTATATTAGTTATATCTTACGTACAAATCAAATGGGTATGTAGGTGACAACAGGATGGTACAAAAAACTGGGGGAGAGAATATGGACTCCTTGGTTCATTAAGTTTATCCATACGCATGGGTATTTCAATATATATACCAATTTTTTACGCGAACGAGCCCTCAGTGTCTCTCATAGGGATGCTGGTGTTAACTATGGGAAAACAGCAGGGCCTGACTCATACTTATTGGAAGAAAATGCTCTTGATTTTAACCTTTTGGAGATGCAGTCTTTGAGTAGTCTGAAGTGCTATGATTTCTGTTTCAGAGAAGTACTTCCTGATAGAGTGGTGAGGAGTTTCGATGATCTTGGATACGTCCTTCACTCTGTGCAGAAACTAGAGACTATTGTACTTGTAAGCTTGTATAGGGCATCAGAGGCAGTGACAAGGAACTTACTCTGCCAGTTTGAGAGGCTAAATATTTGGAACTTCATTTTTATGGGCCCAAAATCTGATTTTTTATTTGATCTTGCGAGAAGGGGGCATCCTATGATTGACGTGGATCAATTTTCAGACAGTATTAAAGCTTACAATTCAATAAGAGTTCAAGAATTCAGTGCAGAACTGATCAAGGAGATTTTTGTGAAGGCCTATGTGGTTAAGAAATGCTTGGAGCTCGGGTATAGTACGTGGGTCCTGGATGGAAACTTTCTTCCAGTTACCAGTGATTCATTAGTCGATTTCTTTGGCCCCAAGTACAATTTCTACGTTGGGACAAACTCTACCTTTCTTTTTGTCAGGAGCTCATCTTCTGCTTTGAAAACTTGGGTTGACGATTTTACATACAAGGTTGCTTTGATGGCAAGTTCTTTGATAACTAAAGAATCAGTTTCCATGGAGGGCAGTAATTTTGCATATGTAGTATCAAAGACACTAGAACGGTTTAGTGTGAAATTCACCTGGGTTGATGGGATGAGCTTTGGCGCAAACATCAATGCCCTTGATGTTAATCAAACCTCTTTGGGGAATGGAAAGAAGATTGCCTTCTGGTCTTCTGAGATACGATTGAATTCAATACAAAAACGGCTTGATGAGTTAGGTATTTGGGCTTTGGATGCTGACTCTTCATGTATTGCAGTCATTTGTCACCCTTCATAGCATTTGATTGTGAATTTTTATCCTCTCTGATCAATGGTTTATTGTTTAACATTATAATGGTTTTGATCCTGAACATCACCCCAATATCAGATTTCCTGGGGTTTCAGCTGTTCTGTGATTGATGGTTGACCCTTGAAGATTCAACTTTTCATGGCAACCAAAAGGGGTGAAAATGTCCTGCTTTCCTTGTCTTAATGGTAGAGGAAGCTAGTATAAAGAGTGGGAAGGCAAGGGTGCAAAAGGAATTTGAGGACATGGCTACAACTGCAACACTCCAGAGGTGCCAACTGCATCCCAGCTTGTCCAAGCTTCGGTTTTTGGACTCAGTAATGGGAAGCATTAAGCCTTTCCCCAGCAGATCTTTACATTCTGGGCCATCTGATCATGCAGTAAATTCTCTCGCCTCATTAGTTGCCTGTTGCACTACAAATCACAATGGCCTCAAAATCTGAATATGTGTAGCTTTTTGTATGAGTTAGAATATAAGCTTTTTATATTTCAATTTAACTAAAAATGGGAGTACTGTTTTTCCCCTCATCATTTGCTAACATTCAGACAATCCCATCCAATCTATACACATCCAGCCGACTGTAATCATATCCAACTGCAATCCCTTTCATCCTTTGTTAGTATGTATTCTGGGGATATTGTGGTTGCTGTATGTTTTTTATGCGGGGAAACAAACATGGTTCAATGTCCCAGGCAAGGGTGGAGAATCAACTAGTACATAATGAGAACTTTTGATCAGAGTGTTTCCTTAAGTGACATTCAAACAGTAAAATTCTGACCAATTGGAAAAAATTTAGTAGTTGTCTCCTGTAATTTTTATATTTGTGGATGTATTTATTATTATTGTAATTGTTTTTACCAATGTTGTGGTATCGAAAAAAATAGTAAAAATAATTATTGCAAAAGTGGTAAATATAAAAAAAAAATGGTAAAAATAGTTATCACAAGAGTAATAAAAACACCTATAATAGCGATAAAACACCGATAAAAGTTCTAAATTATCTGCAAAAGGGATAATTTATTTATTTATTTTGGTATAAAAATTCCCACCATCATGAATCAAGCTGAATACCATTTTAGCAAAAGAACATTCAAGAATGATTGATCTTATTTTCTTGGTCAACACCTCAACTAGCATTCTGAGAGCCCGATGATATTCATGCCATGGTTACTTTGCCTTCCTCAATCGCCTCTCGATGGAAGTGCCCAAATTTTGGCAAAAAATATAACTTAAAACAGGTTCGTCAAGCCATGGACATCGAATCAATGGCCTCCAACAACAAAAGAATGCACCTGAACCTGATCATCAATTTGAACCCAACTGCACCCAGGATTCTTCTGCACTCCCTTTAACTTCATGAATTCTCTAATCTTATCTGCCTCATCCCACCTCCCTGCTTCTGCATACATGTTTGAAAGAAGTGTGTAATACCCAGAGTTTTCCGGCTTCAGCTTAAATAGATGCTCAGCTGCCCAACAACCTAAATCTATATTCCCGTGTAATCGACACGCCCCAAGGAGAGAACCCCATAAATTGGCATCCGCTTCAACTGGCAATCTTTTGATGAGCTCTACTGCTTCTTCCATAAGTCCAGCTCGGCCAAAAAGATCAACCATACATGCATAGTGCATTTTTGTGGGTTTAATATCCCCAACAAGCATGTCATCAAGATATTTCCTTCCTTTCTCAAGTAATCCTCCATGACTACAAGCTGACAGAACAGCAATATAAGAAACTGAGTCGTATTTCACGCCGTCCTCCCTCATGGCTTCGAAGAGATTGATTGTGGTATCCAATTCACCTAGCATAGCAAAACCCATGATCATAGTATTCCATGAAGCTATATCCTTGTCTGGGATCCGATCAAAAATATTCCTAGCAAGGTCAATGCATCCACATTTGGTATAAAGGTCCAAGAGTGAGTTTGCAACAAAGAGATGAGTATGAAAAAGCTTCCTCACTACATATCCATGAATCTCCTTTCCTTGCTTGATTGCTGAAATATTTGCACAAGCTGAGAGAACTCCCACAAAGGAAACAGTATCATGATTCATTCCCGCCAGCCTCATTTCTGAAAATAAAGTAAAAGATTCTGAGGAATCACTAGCTTGGGAATAGCCCACAATTAGGATATTGTACGACACTTCATCTTTAAGTGAGATGTTAAATATATTTTGGGCAAGGTTTAGGCACCCACACTTCGCATACATGTCTGTCAAAGCATTTGACACGAATAAATCAAAGGCAGACCCTGTCCTGATAGACCTGGCATGTATTTCTTTTCCAGGGCGAAGAAAGCCCATTCGTGCACAAGCCGGAAGAACATTTGTGAAAGTGAGAGAGTTAGGAATTTCACCATGAACTTGCATTTCTCTGACAAGTCCTATCGCCGCCAATTCACTCCTATTTTGAGCAAAGTTAGCAACCATGGCATTCCATGAGACCACATTTCTTGTGTCCATCTGGAAAAATATATTTGATGCTTCATTTGAGTGTCCTGATTTCGCATACATATCCATTAAAGAATTGGCAATGAAAATATCGGATTTCATACCCATTCTGATGCTGTAACAATGAAGTTCCTTTCCTGCAGCAAAACATTCTAGTTCAACCAACACTGGTAGCATACTAGAAATGGTAACAGGGTTTGGTTTTACTCCCACATCAATCATTAATGTAAACATATCTAAGGCATCTTTATGACACCCTCTATAAGCCAAACTAACAATAATAGCATTCCAAGAAACATCATTCTTCTCAACCATTTCATCAAAAACTCGCTTTGACGCCATCACATTCCCACATTTTCCATAAGCATCAACCAGAGCATTACCAGCAGTGACATGACAATCAAAACCTACCTTTACAACATAACAATGAACCCTACTAGTCATCACCTCATCCTCAAGTCCCGCACAGACCGGCAAAACGCTCACAATACTAACTACATTCGGCTTAAAGCCAGATCTCAACTTCATCTCTTGAAACAAATCAAGCGTTTTTGCATAACACCCATTGACGGAAAACACTCCTATCATCGTATTCCACGACACAACGTCTCTTTCAACCATTTCATCAAACACCATATCTACATCACTCAGACCACCACACCCACCGTAGAAACACAAAAGGGTATTACTCACGAAAACATCTTTATCAAAACCCAGCTTGAACAACAATCCATGAACCTCCATACCCTTCTCAACCTCCGAATAATCCGAACAAGCCTTGAGAACAAAAGGGAACGTATGTCCATCGGGCTTAACACCATCCCGCACCATTCGATTGTATGTTTTGAACCCATCATGGACTCCAGCAATGGTGTGAGCTCGTGTGAGAGTGTTCCACAAGAATGCAGTGCGACAATACGGAACTGTTTTTTCGAAGAGAACGAGAGAAGCTATTGGGTCTCCAAAGGTGGCGTAGCGAAGAATGAGAGCAGCAGAGATAGAGACACTACGTGGAAGAAGACCAGTGAGGATGGCGATTGCATGGGTCTGTTGGGTTTGTTGGAGGGACTGTGTGGAGGAACAGAATGGGAGGATAGTGGGGTGAGTGTGAGGGGGTGACGAGAGATGAGTCCATAGTGGTGTTGTGGTGGTGGTGGTGGAGATTGAGAGAGAGAAGTGTTGAGTGTGAGTTTGTTTGAGTTTGAATGAGAGTTTGGGGGGGAGGCGAAGAGTGTGAGCATTTCTGAACATAGAAAGACAACAAAGCCTTGTTTCAAAACACCGTCGCTGGGTTTTGGGGTGGCGACTGGCGGAGAAACGGCGGAGGATGGCCTCCGGCGAACTGATGACTCAACGTAACTTTCAAATCGGGAAAGACTAAAGTATCGAGAATTGCTACCTCAATTTTATCTCCTTTTTTTATCTTTTAAACTTGTTTGGTTAATTCTGCTGTCTAATTTTAATTTTTAATATTTTAATTAGATTATTTTGATATTTGAAATATTACATATATTTTAATATGGTCTCTCAAACAGATAACGTCCAAATTATTAACGATTTTTTATTATAAACTTGTCACATGATATTTAAATATGAATAAAAAATAATTTTGGTTAAATAATTATCGAAATTATACATTTTGATTATGAACTAAATTTTAATCAAAAATTACTCATATTACACATTTTTTGTTAAAAGCTACCCAAATTTTGTTTATGAGCTATCAAAATTATATTTTGTCCATATTTAAATATTACGTAATAAATTTATAATAAACAAATCGTTAGCAATCTGGATGTTGTCTGTTTGAAGGATTATATAGAAATATATTTAATATGTCAGAGATCAAAATGATGCAATTAAAACATTAGAGATCAAAATAAAATAAATCCCATACTTTGGGGACATCTAGTGTAATTAATCCTAATTGTTTTAATTTAGTTTTTCAATTATCAATTTCGTTCTGACAAAAAATTAAACTACCAATTTCGTCTCAATTAAATTCTTTCATCTATTTTTGCCATTAGATCAATCAAAAACCAGCCCAATTTGATAAATTTCAAGTGTTAAATCATATGTTTCTATTTTGATTTAACGGTAGAAATGAACAAAAGGATTATGTTGAGACAAAATTAATAATTAAGGGATTAAATCATGACAATTGAAAATTTAGAGATCAAATTAAAACCAGCAAGAAAGTTTAGGACCAACTATAATATTTACCCCTAAATTCAAATTATAAGTTTTTAAAATTAAGTTACAAATTGTAAAATGTATAATCAACTTTAAAATGTTGTAATTGATCATAAAAATTATAACTTTTATGTTTAAGTTATAAATTTTAAAATTTAAGTTACAACTCCTAAAAAAATTACATTTGTTTAAGAAAATTCATGATCGAACATATCTTTTAATTTTACCTTTACCAAATGTAACATTACCATTAAAAGTGGTAATTCTCGATATGGTATCTAATTGATAACTCAATGTCACTTTCAAATTGGGAACGTTTTGTTAGTTATAATTTGTATACAGTATGATTGATTTTAAAATGTTTGATCAACATAAAAATTATAATTTTTAAAGTTAAGTTATAACTCATAAAATAAAATTTATAATTGTTTAAGAAAATTTATGATCAATCATAAAATTTCTCAAATAATTATAATTTTATCTTTAAAACTTACAATTGGATCAGTAAAAAGGGTCATTTTTAATATGGTACCGAATTTTTTTCCGACATCATAGAATTACCCTTTTAAATTTGATCTATTTGTAAAATTGAATAGACTAGGGGTACCATTATTATAATATAAAAAATTACAACTTAATTCAGTGAAATTTTGGCAAAATAAATTTCATCGTTTTAGTGGTACATCTCGTTTAGTCATAATAAATTTTTTTTAGTTCTTATTTACTTGCAAATTTCCATAGAGAGACTTCTTAGGTACCAAAGTCTTACCATGTAAATTTTATTTAATCTATGAATGAATTTTTGCAAGTCTAACTAAATGGAATGGCGGAGGAATCAATTTCATCGAAATTATAAAATTATTCACCATTAAATTCGTTAAGAATACATCCAAACTCATTAAATTAATGTCTAACGAGTTAAACTTGTTAATCATCCAAATTTATTAAGAATACATCCAAACTCATTAAATTCGTACCAGGTTCTTATCGATTTCACGAGTCGTGTCTTAGATTGCTAGACCTAATTAACCCACAAAAACCAACAGTTTGGTTTGATGTTGTTCCAGCAAATTCTTTTGAGAGCCCAGCCACAAAAGGTGGACTTTAAAACACCACACCCCCTGGGTTTGCTCAACTCAAGCCTACATATGTGGACTTTAACCCACTCCAATCTTCAGATCTTCACCATGAGAGCCTCTAAAATTTGGAAAAACATATCCAACCAAACAACGAATTTAAAGGCCTATTGGACTATTTAGGCAAATTTCAGCCTCCAAATCCACCCAACCCCACAAAACAAACTGGCCCCAGATGGAAAACCTGGAGGAGTTGAGCATCATACACACTCAAACCCCCAATATACCAAAGACGCAAAAAGAATTAATAAAAGCAGAGACTAATAAAAATCCCCTAGCACAACAGTTCCACAAACACCTACTAAGTGCAAACTCCAACGCATAAAGAACTTCACAAAAAAAAAAAAAACATAAAAGAACCGAACCCAGCTACTTCACAAAATGGATACCTTGCAATCTCTTACGATACTTCTGAGGCAAATAACAGTGGCACAACAACAGTATGGTAGAATCCAATAACCCATACTCCATCCAAGTGCGGAGTAAAAAAAGCCTATCGAGATATGGAGAAAACCACCCATGATTATGTCAAGTAAAAAAGCCAATGGATAATAAAATATAAAACCAAACAATCAACAGAGATAAGAAGGGGGGAAATAGTGTGAAACCAGACAATTGTACACCAAGCAGCTATTCACGTAAGCAGAAAGTGCACATCCAGGTACCAACACAGGTTATTTGAATTTTAAATAGTGTGACCACGCAAGCGTTTTAACAACCACATTTTCCTTAACCTCTCATCCAATTTTAAGAACATCTTGGCCCTCTTTTCATCAAAAGAAAGAAACTCACATGCCTCAATAATAAGATCGTCATCAAAGCCAGGAATGTTCTGCACCATCTCAAACAGTTCATCCAAGCACACAGATTGGTTGCTCCCTGTCAAAGCATCAGCTATCCTACCAATATTTGCTGCAATAGCGTTCATCATTTCCACCATCACATCACTGTTACGCCTCTTCTTAGACGGCTGTTTAGAACGTGATAATGAAGGTCTAGTTCTTGTCCGATGAGATGAACCTTGCGTGCTCTCACTGGTATTTTCCTGGTTCATCTCCCCACCACCCAGCATGATGTGCAACGGAGTTTCTATCTGTTCATTGTTGGAAGCTGGATTAACACCACTTTTGGCACCAGTTCCAGAGCAGCATCCACTTGCATAATTGTTGTCAAAGATGACACGCAACTCCTCATAATTCTCAATGGATCGTCCCCTCAGAAATCTCACATTAGGATGTATCTGTGAAATACATACTAGTTAAATTTAGGCATGTGCAATCGAAGAAATATGGGATGCATTTGCAACAGCTTTTAAGACATCATTATATGCTACGCCAAAATATCTCTACTAAGATAGAGTTGCATTTATGGGCAAAGATAGAGTTACTAACTTAGTCCAGTTGGCGCCACAAGATATTGGTTGCTGTGATCATATACTGTCTATTGAGGACCAGGATGCTATATGAAATTATGTTCCTGCTGAGTCTAAGGCTATTGTGACTGTAGCTACAAATTGCTATGAAATTGATAGGACTAGGTTGATACCTGAGTTGTGGAGGGATAAGGATGAGAATAAGGATGGGAATGATGAGTTTTTACTGTCTGATGATGAAAAATTGTCCATCTTGAAAAATTTATTGGAAAAAATGGATTTATCATTAGTTCACAATAGAAAGAAAAGTAGGAAAAAAGGTGAAGGGAGAAGTGTGGGAAAACCAAAAGTGGTTCGGGAACTTGGGAATCTAAAGTATGCAATAAATTATGATGGAGTGATATATAGGAAGGAAGACAAAGGTGTTGATGGTTCTAGATGAAGATTATCAGTTGGAACGTCAGAGGTATTGGGTCGAAAATGAAAAGTAGTTCAATTAAGGAGTTGATTGTAAAGGAATGTCAAAATGTGGCGACTTTACAAGAATCCAAGGAGGTTGTTGATAGGAGATTGGTTAAAGGTGCATGGGACTATAGGTTTAGGAATTGGGTTTATTTACCATCTTGCAAGACGCCAGGGGGAATAATGATAACATGGGATGAGAGGTCAATAACTGTGAAGGAATCAAAAGAGGAGGAATTCACAATTTCTGTTAGAATTAAGAGTATGGATGGAGGAGAGTGGTGGTTAACTGGGGTGTATGGTCCAAATTGTCCTAGGGAAAGGAAAAAGGTTGTGGGAGGAATTGGCAAACTTGTTTGGTCTTTGTAGTGCTCATTAGGGTGTTAGTGGTGATTTCAAATGTGATTAGATACATTTCTAAATTGAATGCAAAGAGAGTGATGAGGAGTATAAGGGATTTTGACTCTTTCATGAGGGAAACAAGCTTGAGAGACCCTACTTTGACTAATGGTACCTTTACATGGTCAAATTTTAAGGAAAATCTAGTTCATTACTGGTTGGATAGGTTCCTTTCCTCTGCCGAGGGGGAGAATTGTTTTTTGGGAGTTAGAAAGGAGGTTCTTAATAGGGTTGTTTCGGATCATTGTCCTATTGCTCTTGATACTTCTGTGGTTAGATGTGGTCCTTGCCCTTTTAGGTTGGAGAATATGTGGTTAGAACATCATGATTTAAAGTGCAAGTTTAGGTAGTAGTGGGGGGATAGAAATATTCAAGGGTGGGAGAGTTTCAAATTTATGAAAAAATTGGAGTTGGTAAAACAAAAGGCAAAAAGATGGAATAAGGAGATATTTGGTGATCTTAGGATAACAAAGGGTTTAATCATGGGGATAATTAGTGAGATTGATAGGATGTTAGAGGGAGAGGGGTTAGATGACACGTTGAGAAAAAAGATGTGGGATCTTTGAAATAGGTTTGAGTAGGTTGTGTTTAAAAAGGAAGTGAGTTGGAGATAAAAAGCAAGGGTGAATTGGATAAAAATAGATGATCATAATTCAAAGCCCTTTCATAGAGTGGCAAATGGAAGGAGTAAAAAGAAATTCATTATAAATTGGAACTTGAAAATGGGGTGATTGTAGAAGATGAAGGAGAGATAGAAAACAAGATTGTTGAGTTCTTTTCTATGTTGTATGCGCCTGAGGAGAGTCATAGGAATAGATTAGAAGGGCTAGAGTGGAGTCCAATTGATAAGAATAGAGTCGGGTGGTTGGAAAGGCCTTTTGAGGAGGATGAAGTAGAACGTGCTATTTTTTAGTGTGGGAGGGATAAGGCCTCTGAGTCGGATGAATTCGACTATGACAGTTTTTTTGGATTGTTGAGATGTGGTCAAGTAGGATTTGATGAAAGTTTTTGTTGAATTATACCATAATGGAGTGGAGAATGCAATAACAAATGCTACTTTTATTTGCCTTTTCCCAAAGGAGGACATTTCCTAGAGAATTAAGGATTTTAGACCAACTAGCCTGGTGTCTAACCTTTATTTTTTGATAAGACACAACAATTTTATTAATTAATCAAAAAAAGTGTTACAAAACCAATCATAGGTGGACAAGTTATCCAACCCAACAAAGGCATCACAATAAAAAATACAATCTGCAAGAAGTTGTCCAACTTGCATTAATGCTAAAAAGAGGAAAATTATCCAACTCTTTAATCGCTGGTGCCCATAATGAAGCCAACAATTGTAACCAATCTCATAAACATTCAACTTCTTCGTTCTTATTTTCAAAAATCCTCGCATTTCTCTCCATCCATGTCACCCAAATGAGAGCAAAAAAACACATTGTCCAAAGGTTTTCCTTTTCAACTTCCTCCCAAACCCCTAAAATCCATACTAACCATAGATGTCGTTGATCTCGGACCACCCAAGAAGTGCCAACAATCTCAAACAATTTATACCATAATGAAAGTGTCAAAGGAAAGTACAAAAAAAAATGATTCACAGCCTCTCCATCACCTCTACACAAAACGCACCATTGCGATGAAAGACAATGCAAAAGTCTTCTTTGAAGCACATCATTGGTATTAATCTTGCCATGAGCAATTACCCATGCACACACTTACACCTTTAAAGGCATTGGCCCTCCAAATCTTCCAAGACGGGTTAAAAAATGGAAGTGAAGAACCACCAATTAAAGATTCAAAATAAGATTTACAAGAAATAATACCCAAAGAATCACTAATCCAAACTCTTTTATCTAAAGAATTTGGAGACAATGAGACATCATGAAGTATGGAAAGAAGTCCCAAAAATTCTAAATACTCCCTATCATTGAGGTTCCTACAAAATCCAAAATCACAAGTAATCGGAATAGAAGAAGAAGAAACTAAAGAATTAATTCATCTACCATGATAACAAGAAAGATGATAAAGATGAGGGAATAAACGAGAAAAAGAAACTTTCCTCTCCAAACACCTCCTAAAACCTTACTTTCAACCCATTTCTCACCATGAACTTGACCCTCTTAGAAAAGTTAGGTAATCCCAGTGAAATGAATTTCCATGGACTCCGAAAGGTATCCCTTTCAATCCCATTGACATCTCACCCATTAACCTATAACCCCATATTTGCTTCTAATAATCGTATGGCACAACGAATCTTGCTTCAAATGAAACCTCCAAAACCATTTTCCTACTAAAGCCACATTCCTCATCAACAAGTTTCCTACCAATAAACCACCCTTTACCTTAGGCCTGGACACAATCCCTCATTTAATCAAATTATTTTTTTTCCTTCCCCACATCCCTCCCATAGAAAATCTCTCATCATCCCTTCAATCTTCTTTGCCACCAAGCAAGGCATTTTAAAGAGAGAAAAAATAGATAGGGATACTAGCAAACAAAAACTGCACTAACATTAACCCATCCCCCCTTAGTGATAAAATCATTGCAAAGGTGTTATCAACTGAGGTTAAGAGAGGTTCTTAGTGAGACTACCTCGAATCATAAGGGTGCATTTGTCAAAGAAAGACAAATTTTAGATGTAGCCAATGAGGTGGTGGAGAACTATAGGTTAAGGGGCAAGGAGGGTGTTGTTTTAAAAATTAATTTTGAAAAAACATAAGACTGTGAATTGGAGTTTTTTAAACAATGTCTTGGAGGTGAAAGATTGGATCGAAGTGGAAAAGATGGATTAATGAGTGTTTGCAATCTATGAATTTCTCTACTATGATGATGGCAAGCCCTGGAGACAGTTTAAGGCATCTAGAGATTTGAGACAAGGCGATCTATTATCCAATTTTCTCTTTATTTTAATGGTTGATTAGTTGAGTAGGATAATAAAGAAAGCAGAAAGATATAATCTTGCTAAAGGCTTTGTAATTGGGAGAGATGGAATGTTTGTGTCACATCTATAATTTGTTGATGATACTATCTTTTTCTCAGGGGGTGATGAGGAGAAATTCATTAATTTCAAAAACATAGTGGAGGTATTTGGGTGGGTATCTAAGTTAAGGGTCAATATGGAGAAAAGTTTGATAGTTGGTATCTCTGTAGATTGGCAGGAATGTTGGGATGTGGAGTGGGTGAGTGACCATTAAAGTATTTAGGTCTTCCCTTGGGAAGGAATCCCTTATCTTTGGTATTTTGGGACCCTATTATGGAAAAAGTGAAGAGAAGATTAGATGGATCGAAGAGAGCTATATTTCTATTGGGGTAGGTGAACTTTGGTTCAATCAGTTTTGACTAACTCACCTACTTATTTTCTCTCTCTTTAAGGTGTCAAGGAAGATCGCAATGAGAATTGAGAAAATGACGAGATATTTTGTGGAAAGGAAATGGTGAGGAAAAAAGGATCATTCGGTGAAATGGGAGGTGATTTCAGGAACTAAAGCTAAGGGTGGGCTAGCAACGAAAAATTTGAAGACAAGAAATGTTACTTTAGTTGAGAAATGGCTTTACAGATTCTCGCTAGAACAAAATTCTCTATGGAATTTGGTTTTTAAGAGCAAATATGAATTAAAAGCTAATGGATGGGAGGAGTTGAGAGGGGAACCTATCGATGCCCATGAAAGTTCATTCATCAGGGATTTGCGTGGCATTCTCAATATGTGACATTCATGGTGGGTAATGGAGACAGAGTTTGTTTTTGGGAGGATGTATGGATTGGTTCATTATCTTTTTCTTGCCTTTTTTCACATCTTTATCATTTATCTCGTTTAAATGGGTCTACTATTGCATCGATGTGTCATTCTTCTTATCATTAGAATTTTGGGTTTCGTAGGCATCTTGATGATAGAGATTCTATGGATTCGGTGTCACTGCTCTCTTCGATTAATAACTTTAATGGGTGTATTGAGTCAAATGATAGAAGGAAGTGGATTCTTGAGTCTTCAGGTGTTTTATAATTTTTTTGATATCCTAATTGATGATCCTTTATGCTCTTTGTTTCTTCCATCTACGATGATTTGGAAAACTAAAATGTCCACTAAAGTGCAAGTTTGTGATAGAGTAGTATACTAAAAGCTTGTTTTTTGTAGTGAAATTCGTTTTATTAATTAATAGAAGTTTGTTCTTTCTATTTTATTGAGAATCTATATGGACAAAGTGTTTGCATTATATTTAATATATGGTATGTATGTGTGTCTTATATTTTACATTGTAGATAATCTGGTGTGTAGAGTTACACTTTTGCATAGAAGACCAGATTATCGGATCTTTGTATAATATGAGTATAGGTTCACAATCTTAGATGGAATTGGACACACTATCAGTATGATTGTAATGTAATATTCTTGCATAGTCTGTCTTGATTGTAAAAGACTATATGATGTCTCAGATTATTGCACTAATACACTTTGTGTATTAAACAGACCATGTTGAGGTTATCTTTTATTGATTCAATAAGATAATAATTATCTCATGATTATTATGATTCCTTATAACTCTTAATCCCAAAATATTTAATTGTCACGTGTATATAATGTTTGTCATTTTAATTCATCAAAGAGTGAGATTTATATTGAGTCAATAAGCTCGATGAATTGAAAGACGATGTTATTTGTATGGTAAAAATCAATTATTAAAGAAAACCACGTCCTAATATTTAAATGGGTTGATGAAATCCTCTTGAGCAAACTCATAAGTTTTGTCTATGTCAAACCCTACAGGTCAATTTAATTATCCGACATGACAAATACGTTGAGTGCTAAGGTCTCAAGTAATAAAAGAAGTCAATTAAATATAATTGTTAGTAATTTATTTAATTAATAGACATCTGTAATTTTAAACGTGGGGAGATTATTAAACATATAATAAAGAGATCGAATATAATTTTGAAATAAGACTCAAGAGATCAATAATAAGTTTTTAGTAGACTGACTTATTATTAATTGGCTGTAGGATGTTTGTTCTGAGTTGAATATAAAAATTCTAGGCCCATTGGAAGGCTGGTCCTTATTTCTCCTTAGGATTTCTGTAGTAATCTATATATAGACGTCTAGGCTCTCTAGATCTGCATCAATTCATTACTCACGTCTTGAGAGAGGCTAAAAAAGAGAGCAAAAATTCGGAAGTTCTTGTAGCACACACTACATCCGAATTTTTGGTGTTTGGAGATATACGATAGAAGAACGTTAGGTTCAGCGAGCTACCTTCTGTCTTCTGTTCTCCTCGTTCATGCTGAGACGAGATCAAACCAAAGTAATCTCGAAGGTAAACTCTAATTCCGCTTTGTAGGGTTTTTAAAGAAATTTTTTTTGTATTTGATACATATGCGAGCTATCAATAATTCTTGAGATTTCCGTTCCAACAGTTTGTGCATGGACTATAGCTCATGGTAGGATCAACACCAATGATGTATTTCTGAGAAGGAGACCTTTATGTATTTCTCCGCAATGCTGTGCGATGTATAGATGTGATTGTGAGAGTATTGATCATATTTTCTTGCATTGTCCTATTGCATTATTTTTGTTGCCCAAGTTATTTCATTTGGCAAGCGTTTGTTGGGTGATTCATGAAACTTTCTTTCATGTTGGTGGAGAAATTTGAGTGGTTTGGAAAGCACAAGAAAGGGGTAACACTTCAGAATTGTGCAATTTTTAATTTAGTTGGAGAGAAATTTTAAAATGTTCAAGGACAAATGTGACTTGAAGGAAGGCTTATGGAACCTAATTTATTTCTTGGCTTCGTTGTGGGCTTTAGCTACTAAGGATTTTGAAGGCATTCCGCTCTTCTGTATTGTGGCGAATTGGAGAGCTCATGCGTTCCATAGTAATATTGCATTTCTTTTGTCTTTCCATTTCTTGGTTGGACACCATGTCCCTCCTAAGCTCTTTTGGATGTATTGTTTTCATATTAATAAAATTATTTAGTTTCCTATCAATATATACTAAAATGTATACTATCAATATATATGCATATATACTAAAATGTATACTATCAATATATATACATATATACTAAAATGTTTACTATCAATATGTATACATATATACTAAAATGTTTAAAGCTTCAATGACTCTTGAATAATTCGTTCTGTCATCAAAAAGATTCAGGAAAGGACAAAAACAAAATTGTAGTTAATTCTCCGACCATTTAAGCTACCCATTTGAAATCCCCCGACTAAGTAGAGGATAAGTGCATTTTATAGCTGTCAAAGTTCTTATTTTATATATTAGACATAAGTTAATTAATGTACAGTAATATTATAATTACCCTAATATTACTATGTTGTAAATAATAGAGTATAGGGCAATCTAACATACAGAACTGATTCTCTCTCTCTCTCCCTCTTTCATTATGTGCCATCCTAATATTACTTTTTGCTATTTCAACTATGGCCACTAAATCATCTTAAACTCCATGCTTGAAGATAATTGCATAGCTAAACAAAGCACTAGGGGGACCAAAAAAAAAGATAAAAAGTAAAAGAAAAACACCCATCCTAGATGCTGCTTCCAAACACATCTTAACCAATTTTCAGTACACAAAATGTACCTTGATGTATTCATTCCATGTGGTGTCATTTGCAACAACCATATTTTGTCTCTCATCCCATGTAAATCCTCTATTGGAAAGGAGCTCCTTTATCGTTCCATAAAGTTTCTTCCATGTTTTTACACGCCTCCTAATTTCGTCCATTGTTAAATCAAGTGCGAAATTTTCATTTAAAGCATTAAGAGCAGCTGCATATGCCACTGGCCTAAAATTCCTCTCAAGCTTATTCCCCAGCTTCACTTGCTCAATAAGTTTCTCAGTTAAGCAAAGGTCCATCTCATGAGTCCATAAGCTGCACTTCCCCTTCTCTTTTGCACAATCACTCTGATTTTGATATGCCAATTCGGCCTCCACACTGTTGTCAGCATCACAATACAAGTCAGTTTCAGTATCATTTCCAGAACTTAGAATTGGGTCATCATTACCAATGACAACGCACAAATCATCATAGTTCTCAATGACCCGTCCTTGAAGAAGCCTCACGTTTGGATTTTTCTGTTTGACAAGGGCACAAAATACAAATATTACTCAATAGAAAATATCAGCGCTGTAAACTTCTACATAAGCTACTATTTATCTGTGTAGGGTACCTTAATGTAGCTATGCCATACAGAAGCATCTGCAGTGACCATCTTTCGTGTCTCATCCCATCTAAAATCACCCTGCTCAAGGAGCCCCTTAACACTGCCATAGAATTTCTTCCATGTTTTAATTCGATTCTTGACATGGTCTTTTGTGAAGTCAAGCTGAAACCTTTTATTTAAAGCTGAAACTGCTGCAACATACGCTGCAGTCTTAAATTTATTCTCAGACTTACTTTTGTTCCCCAATTTTATTTGCTTTACAAGAATCTTACTGAGACAACGGTCCATTTCATTTGTCCATCTCATGTTCTTTGCTTGATCCTTCATGCTGTCCTGACACTCTGTGGGAGAGGCATCAATAGCTTCCACACCTAACTCAGCAGCCAAACTATGCACTGTGTCATCAGCAGTTCTTGTAATGAATCCATTAGCAAGACAGTTGCCAAAGATGGTGCACAAATGAGTGTAGTTCTCCACTGCCTTTCTTCTGTAAACCCGAGCATCACGGTGTGTCTGAGGTGAAAATAGGTTTGCTTAGCAAAACAGAACATAAGCACTACTTTGATTAGGACTAGAAAAATGGTCTCAATTATGCGTATGCATGGAGAGTTAAATGGAGTGATAACATTTACTCCATACTCCATACAGATACTTCGCAGCTTGTTGCCCGGAGTTCAGATCTTGAAACAATTCAACAAACATGATTCACATTTTCAACTTCAGACAGATATATCATGATATGAATGTACAGAAGCACATAAACACACACCGTTAGGTATATAAACCTCAATACATCTTTTGGACACAACATGCATAGTTCCAATGCTAAGGTTGGAATCCCATATAGATCTTAGCATTTCACCAACTAAATCCACAAAAATCAAATGGAAATCAGATTTGTTTTACAATGGAATTTCACACATATATGTATTGTTACATACATGCGATTATGTTTGAAGGAAGTAAGCAAACTTGGACAAAGAAAAAGTACTTCAAAACGTTCTATCAAATGGTAGAGTTATTCAAAAAGTCACAACCATTCTTCAAAAATTGTCATAATCCAAAGTTCGTTTGGTCAAGGTCTAGATATAGGGCATAGAGGTTTATGCGTGTACATATACATGTGTCTAAATCTAAGGCATAGAGGTATATGCGTGTACATATGCATGTGTCTAAATCTAGGGCATAGCGATATATTGTCATAACCCTTACTAACGTTATATATGCATGCTATGATATTTTGATAGTTTTTGGGTTTGATATTATATATGTTGGTTTCCATTAACTTTTACAGGGTGTATATGCCAAATGTTGAAGCATGATTAGTGTAAGATTAAGACTTTATTAAGGACACTCAAAATATACTTAGTTTGTAATTGCTTAATTTGATTAATGACCCTAACCATATGGGTTAAGTTAATTGAATCTAGAAATGCCTAACTAAAAGATTAGCCTTACCAATTAAGCAACCATTGTGGACTTTTCTAAGAGGTGCTTGTGTGAGTAAGAGAGAGAAAGTGCCAGATGAAGACACCTCAAGAGAGAGAAAGGTCTAAGAATACAAGAGGAGTTAGTGTAGGGAAAGTGATGGTTGTGTAGAGAATGAGAGACGAGTAAGAGACAAAGAAGAAAAGAGAGGGAAAAATTCAAGGAAGGAATTTGGGGCTGCGTATTATCCTCAAACAAGGTATGATTCTTGGTTTTTTTTGTTTTGGGTTTTTTTTTTTTTTTTTGGGGGGGAAGGGGAGGGGGAACAGCTCTTACAACAATTCATTTGATTAAGGGCATTGCTACTATTCTCACTTCTAATGTCTCCCCATTTGAAATATTGTATAGTAAGCAACTTAATTATTTCTCATTATGTGTCTGGTTATACTTATTTTGGATTGATCCAGAGTATTCTTCGTACCAAGCTTTTTGCTCATTTAGCTTTATGTGTTTTCTTTAGTTATGATGAGTGTCAAAAGTGGTATCGTTGTTATGATCCTATTACACATAAACTTTGTCCCTCGCCATGTTGTCTTTATGAATCACGTTCATTTCTACTCGATTCCATCTAGGTTCTAGTCAAAAATAAAAAAATTAAAAATTTCATCTAAATTTTCATCTCTACAGAAAACAGATTGCATATTCATTGATTCTCCATGACACATATATTTGTGATGTAACTATGTCTAATTTCTCATCCACCTCTTCTTTTTATGATCTGTCTATTACTCATCTCCCTATTGGGCATACTTATGTTCGATGGACTCCCGTTGTCTCTTCTATGAATGCGGTGTCTTCCTTATCTCCTCCAGTCCCTCCATCAGGTTCAAACACTGTGGATCATGCTCCTCGCCAAGGATCAAAATTTTATTTCGAAGAGATCGAAACATTTCTATTTTCAAGGAGACCGAAACGAATTAGAAATGAAATCGAAATTTTAATATTTCAAGATGTTTTGTAATATTTTAATGTATTTCCACAATTGTTTCAGAATGTTTCAAGATATTTCAAGATAGTTAGATATATTTCAACTAATGTTTTGAAAAAATAATTCTTAAATTTTTTATTTTTTTATTATATTTTCGAAATGGGTCAAATTGTTTCCGAAACACGACGAAACATTTTTATTTTCTAGGTGACGAAACAATACACCAAAATAAAATTTTGATCTTTGCTCCTTGCTATCCTTAGCGCTCATGGAAGTGCCCAAATAGGTTTGGTTTCTCTAACTCTTTAATTTTTTTCCTTTCTCAATTCTATTCCCTCTCTGTCTAAACTCACCTCCTATAAGGAGCCTATGCTTGATCCTCTTTGACAACATACTTGAATGAAGAGCTATATGTCTTATATTAAGACCCAAGCTTGGGAGTTAGTGTCTTTACTCAATGGCAAACACACCATTGCAAGTGGATTTACAAAATCAAAACTTAATCAAATGATTCAGTGGAAAGTTGCAAAGCTTGATTAGTGGCCAAGGAATCCGCTCAAAAGTATTGGCCTATATTAGGATGAGACCTTTGCTCCAATTGTAAAGATGACCATTGTTTACACTATGATTGCAATGGTTGCAATTTGTTAATAGAACTTGTCTGAAATGAATGTGAAAAATATTTTTCTTCATAGCGATTTATCTAAAGCACAAAGCTTTATATCATTATACGGTCTTAAAGAGGCTCCTAGGATATGGTTTGCTAAGTTTTTCTCGGTCAACTATGACTTAGATTTTCGTGTCAGTGATTATGACTCTATTCTCTTTCTGTTATCCATTTGCTCAGGTTCTATTGTTCTCTTATTGTATGTTGATGATATAATTATTACGGATGATGACACTACTGGTATACTACGGTTGAAAAACTAGTTACAAGAGCATTTTGAGAAAAAAATTGTCATCTTTGATATTTCTTGGGGATTGAAATTGTTTCCTTCCTAAAGTTTTTCTCCTCTTAGTATAAATATGCTTCGGATATTATTCAGCAAGCTTGCATATCAGATAATCGGATAATATAGACACCTTTAGAACTCAATGTTTTTTACTTTTCCCCTAATGGTACTTTCTTGCCTGATCCTACCCAGTATTGTACTATCGTTAGCAGTCTGGTATAATTTACAATTACTTGTCGAGATATCTCATATGTGGTTCATGTTATTAGTCAGTTTGTTACTTGACCCACTACTTTCCACCGGATGATGACACTACTGGTATACTACAGTTGAAAAACTAATTACAAGAGCATTTTGAGAAAAAATTTGTGTCATCTTTGATATTTCTTGGGGATTGAAATTGCTTCCTTCCTAAAGTTTTTCTCCTCTCTTAGTCTAAATATGATTCGGATATTATTCAGCAAGCTCGCATATCAGATAATCGGACAGTATAGACACCTTTAGAACTTAATGTTTGTTACTCTTCTCCTAATGGTACTTTCTTGCCTGATCCTACCCTATATCGTACTATCGTTGGCAGTCTGATATAATTTACAATTACTTGTCGAGATATCTCTTATGCGGTTCATGATATTAGTCAGTTTGTTACTTGACCCACTACTTTCCATCGGGATGCTATTCTTCGCATTCTTTGGTATCTTTGGGGGTACTCCATACTCTACATCAGAGTCTATTGTTTTCTTCCCTCTCTTCTCTGAAATTGAGAGCTTATTCAGATGCTGACTGAGCTTGTGAATCTATGGATCATAAGTCTACCACTAGTTTCAGTCTCTTCATTGGTGATAACCTTTATTTCATGGAAAGTAAGAAGCAAACTGTTGTTGCTCGTTCCTCAGTCGAGGCTGAGTATTGTGATATGACATCTACTACAACTAAGATATTCTGGTTACATTGGTTGCTTGTTGATCTTGACATCTCTCTATCTGCTCTCACACCTATTTATTGTGACAACACTAGTGCTATTCGAATTGTCCATAACTTAGTGTTTCATGAGCATATAAACATAGTGAAATTAACTGTCACTTTGTGCGACATCATCTTCAACTGGACACTATATCTCTTCCTTTTCTTCCTTCTACCATATAGTTGCTAAATTTAGTTACGAAGCCTTACACAATAGCACGCTTTAACTTTTTGCTTAACAAACTCTTGATGTTCTATACTATCACTTCATGAGTTTGATGGAGGAGGTTAGAGTATATTTAGAGAATTAATATAATGGGTACTATAGTCATGTACTTTATTTTGTGTTACCCTCCTATATAAGAGTTCCTATTGTGTATTCTTTTTGTTGGGTTGTAACATACTTATGGAGTTGCGTTAACATTTTCTCTCATTTCTTTTTCGTTCTCTCCTCTATAATCAATGTTTTCAAAAACATAATTGGATAGCTAGACAGATTATCGGCAATACTGAGACAACCAAGTGGATCTCTCCCTTGTTGGGATGATGTCACTAATGGGTGTGTTGCCCATTTGATTGTGGACTTGTGGTGGTGCCACGAGTGTGTTGTCTACATAGTGATGGTGATGGTGCTATGGCGGTGGAAATGTAGACACGGTGTCAAGGCAGTGGAAATTTAGAGCCGCCGATGCTAGTGATCTTGGATGTGAGTGAAAGAGATAAACATAGAGATCAATAGGTGATCAATGGTGATTAAGTGCTAATATGGTGGAAATGCGTAGTGTTGGTGATCATTGGCAAAAAAAGGTATAGGTGATATGGCAAAAAAAGGTATAGGTGAAATGCGTAGTGTTTGGTTAATTGAAATAGAGGGACAGGTTAGGTGACAATGAATGTTGGGTCCTATGCAGCATGTATGTGTGTGAAAGAGAAAAAGGGTGGGAGGGGAGAAGATGGGCGACCATGTTAGATGAGGGAGGTTGCGACTATGCATAATGATGGTGGATGGCGTTGATTGGAGAGAGTTTGAGAGTGGGGTAAGGAAAATAATGTGTTTGGCGATAGGTTAAGTTTGCCGAAAGTCATTCTTATTAGGCTTTAGGTGACCATACTTAGGTTTGGATTGGTTGGTTCTAAAGGCAAAATTTTACTGCTGCTAACCATCATCTGTTCGCATTTTTTGAGATGGGGTATTAGCGTATTAGAAAGAAGAGGATACCCCTTGAAATTAGTGTAAAAATAGGTGATATTGCATACCAAATGAACACCTAACATAAGGAAATAAATTTTATGGCAAGTAATTTAGATGCCTAGTAATATTATTAACTAGTTAATACTCAACTCGACTTAACTTTAAAAAACCTCACACC